TATTTATTGACCCTTCCTTCCTGTTCCCCCTTTTATGAAAGGACCGACCATGTCCTTTGCCCATTTTCTATTATAACATTTGTCTTTGATTCTGTTTTATTTCATTTAGTAACTTGAAGGTGTATTCACATTCTTTTAAGAACAAAATCCTCCATAAAATCCAGCTTTCCTCCAAGGCTGCTTCCACATTCTTGCCTTAACTAATTCCAGCATTCCCTGATACTATTACTCTCACAGTCTTCTCAGCGTGAACCAAAAACCAGAAACTTCTTATCAGTATCAGTCACAATTATCCCAAAACTGTAATGATGTCCTTCCCTTCTAACAAATCTATAAAATTATTCCAAATTCCATAGATTGGTTTTCAAAGCTTTCTATAATCTGACCTCAACATTTTCAGCCAGCTACTCTGCTATATATATTCTATCCACCAAGTAAACTCAACTGTTTGCCACCATCTCAAACACCCCCTGGGGTTTCTATAAGTAATTATCTGTCTTGATCTATGCTCTTCTTAGCACCCACTCATTTATCAGACATTCATCCTTCAAGGAAAATTCTTCCTTACAATATAATACCAACAAATATAGAAAAGAATTAAAAAAAAAAAATCACCATTTTGCAGCCATAAGAATAAAATGGATTCAGGCAAGAATAATCAATTAATGATAAATCCAAAATGTCGTATTTTATAAGGAACAAAATATTTTATATAATGTCAAAGTATCTCTCCCTCAAATTATTTGTGAATTATATGGATAACTACATTGATATCATTTAAAAAGCACCCTAATAAGTAATCAAAGTTAATACTATCAGTAAGGGGCAAATGTCACGTACCTCCAGATGTGATAATCCTGAAAGACACTATTCCTTATGCAGTATTCCAGTTAAAAATGCATAGCCATGAAGAAACATTGGAGAAATCCAAATTGAGAACATTCTATAAAGTAACTAGCCTATATTATTTTAAACTGTTAATGTGTCAAAGACAAGGACTGAGGACTTTTTCCAGATTAAAAGAGACTAAATACAATACATGATCCTATACTAAATCTTGAACTAGAGAAAAATGCCATAAAGGACATTACTGAAACAACTGATATAATTTGAATATGAGATGTAGATTCAGAATGTGTGCTTAATATTTACTAAACTAGATGAGGTTTCATTCCAAGAATCCACACACACTCCCACCACATCTAAGGAAATGCCCTTATACAATACACCTGAGAAGAGAAATGGACAGAAATAAATGATTAATATGTGTTAATAACAGTGTCTAGAGCACTACAGATAAAAATTAACATATTAAAACACTGGAAAGGTTCAGAGAAACTATCACCTCATTTTAGGAGCAAATACATGAATTTGGGTCCTTGTAATTTTTGATAAACATTTCAAATTTCTATTATTGAACATAAAACGAGATTCCAAAGGAAATAACTAGAAGAGTTTAGTTACCTATAAAAAATTTAGATTCTTAACTTTTACACAAAATATCTAAAAACACACATTATACTGTCTTTTTTAATTTTAATGACACTAATAGCTTTATTTAACAAACATTGAGTGACTACTATGTGCAAAGCACTATGCCAGATGCATGAAAGATACAAAGATGAAAAGAGACATAGTCCCTGCCCACAAGGAGCGTATAATCTAGTGAGGGAGACAAATACACAAATAACTAGAATACAAGGCAGTAAACAAGAGTGGGCAAGTGCAGAGTGTGGCCTGAGTGTGATACTAACTAGCCTCAAGGTTCCAATTTGAAACACGATGAAATAGTGTTGCCTGCTTTGAAAATTCCATCCCAAGTCTGGCATAATGGAAGTTAAATGGCCCTACCTAAGCAGCTGGAAATAATAGAGTAGGCCAGGTGGAGGGGCTGTTTGAAAGCACTATCACACCTACATACATGGTGCTGATATAAGTACGTAGGTATGGCTAAAAAAGAACTCATATATATATATGTATATATATATATCATCTGTCCTTTGGTTAATGGCTATAGCTACTGTTTTAAACAATATACTTTTATATAAAAAGGAATTTGTATAATCCCAGAAAAATCAATTTAAGGATTAATATTAATTCAAGAAAGAATCCTGCCATAGGCAATTTTATTTACTAATTGATTAAGTCTTTTCTCTAAATATCTATAAAGCTCTGTAGCAATTAAACAGTTAGACATTTAAGTATTGCTGAGTAGAAACCTCTTATGTTCAGCCTTCTGAAAGAAATGGTCACATACCTGATAAAGCACTATTCTAATAGCGACAAGAAGGCCTTAAAGAGATTTAAGGAAAATAATTTTTAATGCTTCAATGCAAATGGAGTACACGCTGATTAAATACAACTCAATGTTCTCTGAAAACATCTCAATGACAGCGTTTGATACCAGTTAAGGCCAGCAAAATTGCACTGAGGAAAATATTACATGTACTGTCTTTCATTGGTTTCATGTATCATTGCTTATGACTATGGCAATGCAATTTTTCCTTTGACAATTGCATTTATGGGAACTGATGAGCTTTGATTTATGAACTTTGACTTGCTTTTAGTTCATATGCCAATAACAAGTGCTGACCACTTCCTCTTGGTAGTGCTGTCTGAAATAACTGGCAAAGCAGAAGCACATTTCCTGGCTGCTTTTCCTACTTCCTGAATTGGAGGGTTCACCACCTTAGCCTGTTTCTTTCCGTGTATCACTGTGGTCTTGGGTCCTCTGCTGCTTTCTCTCAAGGAAACGAGCCCGTGCATCAGATATGGATTTGTCATCATTTCTTCTTTGCATTTTCTTTAGGACGTCTTTTGATATTCCATCTGAAAACATTACAAATTAATCCAATAAAACTTAGCTTTGAGATTCAGTACTGGAAGTGTTAAGAGAAAGAGAAGCCCTGATTTTTCAACATTAACAAAGTAAAAAGAATAAAGAGAAAAATAAATTTTACCCTTTCAAAAGCAACGTAGTCTGTGGCTACAAAATTAAGAGCACCAAGGCCAATGCGTCAGAAAAACTGACCCTAATTCAGGCACGTGGCACAGTGTTGTGACACTGTAATAAAATACCTAGTGGCTAACATTTCTAAAGACTTTTCTACGATTTCTTGGGCAAAACTCTTCACCATTCTATTTTCCAGTGAGGTCAAATAAAGAAAATACAATATGCTTCATCATTCAGCCTCAAAAAGCTTTACTTAAAAGCATTTTGTGTAGCTGGGCGCGGTGGCTCAAGCCTGTAATCCCAGCACTTTGGGAGGCTGAGGCGGGTGGATCACGAGGTCAAGAGATCGAGACCATCCTGGTCAACACGGTGAAACCCCGTCTCTACTAAAAATACAAAAAATTAGCTGGGCATGGTGGCGCGTGCCTGTAATCCCAGCTACTCAGGAAGCTGAGGCAGGAAAATTGCCTGAACCCAGGAGGCGGAGGTTGCGGTGAGCCGAGATCGCGCCATTGCACTCCAGCCTGGGTAACAAGAGCGAAACTCCGTCTCAAAAAAAAAAAAAAAAAAAAAAAAAAAAAAAACCAGTAAAGCCCTACTGGGAAGCACTATGGCATAGTGGTTCAGAGTAGAACAAACGATTTACTCACCCTTTAACTGTTTTACATTTTCCTTATTTGTCCATCTCCTTCTTGCGTCTTCTCTCACTTCACGTCGGGCCACACTGCTCAAATCATGTGCATTAAATTCATGCAACTTGGGTAACAAGTCTCTTACCCATTCATAACGAATTGGGCATACAATTCTTGCGTAGACTTTGGTGGTAACCAATACTTCATGAAAAATGATCCATTCAAGTTTGGTTTCCTGTTCATGAAGCTATCAAACATTTCTTTTAAGGATCATAAACTCAATAACCTGCGCTATTTCACATTAGACCAACCAAATAGTCCAAACCCTTCTCAATTAATTCCTGTCTTCTTCAAACAAGAGGCATACGCCAACCAATACCCTTATAGATCTACGTAATATAGATATATGCACTTTAACCCCAAAGTGAAAAGTAGAAGACATTTATATATTACTTATTTCTACACCTTTACAGATTTCTTCCCTTTATTAAAAATAAAGCACTCACTGCTGAGGAAGGATGAATGTGAACCGGGCTTCCACGCCCATCCATTGTGCAAAACGTTCTCCCAACAGATCTGTAAACAGAAAAACAAAACGATAAAGACTAGAACAGTAAAAGAATGAAGTAAACAGAGCATTAAGTTCAGCAATGAACAATTGCAGTATGCTCCACTACAAAGAGCATTATAAGCAGAGGTTTGCATTTATTCAATTGTTACTACAACCTCTCTACCAATTCATCTTTTTTTTTTTTTTTTTTTTTTTTTTTTGAGACGCAGTTTCGCTCTTGTTACCCAGGCTGGAGTGCAATGGCACGATCTCGGCTCACCGCAACCTCCGCCTCCTGGGTTCAGGCAATTCTCCTTCCTCAGCCTCCTGAGTAGCTGGGATTACAGGCACGCACCACCACGCCCAGCTAATTTTTTGTATTTTTAGTAGAGACGGGGTTTCACCATGTTGACCAGGATGGTCTCGATCTCTTGACCTCGTGATCCACCCGCCTCGGCCTCCCAAAGTGCTGGGATTACAGGCTTGAGCCACCGCGCCCGGCCCAATTCATCTTAAATTAATTATTCAAGTTAAACAGTAACTACAATCTGGTATAAGCAATCAGTAGTTATACTAACAATAATCTATGAGCTTTGAGAGCCAGGAATTTTATTAAAAGGTCAAAACTGAAACTCAAATAAATTAGCTAGACTTTTCAAGATCACAGAGCTCATGCATGGTAAAACCAAGTCCTAAATGGTTCTTCTGACTTAAATATGGTTTCTTTATGTTATATAACACTGCATATCTTTTTAAAGGGATAGGTGATTTTTCACTATTCTTTTTTTTTTTTTTTTTAAGTTTAAGTTATTTATTTAAGCCACCTTCTGCCACAACAAAGGAATGTAAGATCAATATACCAGTCATCATTTGATACAGGTAAAGAAGGTGAGCTTAAGGTCCCATATACTTTTTCTGGTCCATGTGCAGAGTAATGGTCCAAACCAGTGCTGTGGTCCCTGGTGCCCAGGTAGTGGTCCAGATTCTCTTTATTCATCTTCGTAGCCAGTTGGAAGTGGATTCGCATGAGAGTTATGGAATAGGGTTGGTTACCATCTCCCCAGGGAAACGGCTTGGTCCTGATGCAGAGATGAGGGTAGGCGACGAACTCGGGTCTCTTGTGCTCTTTTTGCGACTTCGGGTACACATTCAGCATGCTGACTCCCACCCCAGGGAGCACGACAAAGAAGGTGAGGACCTTCTACATGCGAGCTAAACCTTCTCCGCTATAGGTGGCACTTGATATAGGCCGCCCCAGCTGTGAGCGGGACCGACCCAGCAGTTGAGAAAGCCGAGACGCAACAGCTGCCGCCATCTTCCACCTGGACCTCAATTTTTCACTATTCTAAAACTTGACAATTAGTTCATCTATAATTTTTCCAATTCATGCCCTTAACATATTTTCTTCCACATTTCCCTACCTAAATGTCATTCCAAAAAACTTATCAAAATAAAACCCTAGTTCATTTGTCATAATTTCCTATAGTACTTTGTATATATTTGTAGTATAACCCACATCAAACTGCATTGCAATTATTCACTTACATAACTGTATCCTCCATTAGATTCAGGTATCATCAAGAATAATGCAAGGACTCATGTTACTCTACCTTTCTATCTTCGTACCTGCCCAATTTGGCACACAGCGAGTAACCAAGACATATCATATTTTTAAAAGTGTAAAAAAAAATCAAAAAAAAAAAAAAAAACAAAAAAAAAACAAAAAAAATCAAAATTAAAAAAAAAAGTGTAAAATAATCTAAATTTACAGAAAAGTTGCAAGTAAAAAAATCTTTTTTACCTGAATCATTTGAGAGTAAGCTGCCAACCTAATGCTCCACTATCCCCAAATACTTGAGTGTGCACTTCCTACAGTCAACAGTCAAGAACATTTTCCAACATGACTATAACCATCAAAACCAGGAAATTAACACTGACACATTACTAATATCTTATCCTTAGACCCCACTGTCATTTCACCAAATGTCTTAATAATATCCTTGATAGCAAAAGGATTTAATTCAGAATCATACACTGCCTTTTTCTTTTCATGTCCCTTTGGTCTCCTTCATTCTGGAATACTTCCTCAGTCTTTGACTTTCATGATCTTGGCACCTTTAAGATGTCAAGGCTAGTTACTGTGTGTTATGTCCCTCAGAGACATAATGCTATGTTTTTCTCATTGTATCCTATCAGGAAGAACATGATTTCGATTTATTTCATTATGTTCACTTTGATGCTTGATTTTGGTAGCATATGCCAGGATTCTCCACTGTAAAATTACTTTTTGCTTTTGTAATTAAAAAAAAATTTATGGAGAGGTACTTGTAAGCAATTCCATTTCTCATTAAGCTTTTAATTTACTCATTTATTAATTTATACCATGATAGACATATGATTTCACATTTTATTAAGTACATAATAATCTACTACTATCATTACTTATTTTGACGGTTAAAGTGTCTCATATTTGATCAGTTGGGGCCTCTTCATGCTGGCTCCTATGTTCTTCTGACATGGCCTCAACCTTTGTTAATCACTTCTTTGCTTGCTGGCAAAATAAGATGTTCTGGGCTCATCTTTCACTTTCCCAGCCCCATTTCTCCAAAGAGCCCTGATTTCTTTAAGTGGCAGACGGATATCCCAAGTCAAGATCTGGGCATTATGTCTACTCATTGTTATTGCAGTGAATAGAGGGACTGGGAGTTGCTGTTTCAGTCCCTCTCAGAGATAGCACATATATACATATAAATATTTGCATACATATAAATGCATTACATATATACACACTAACATCTATTTTTATTCCAGTGTCCGTCCATGCATCCATCTAAATTGAAACCCCTAACTTTATAACGATATACTGAAATTTCAATCCAGCAGCACAGAGATCATTCCCATTTTCTCACTTTCAGTATTTTTAATACCCTTCACCATTATCACTCATAGTTATGTGACCAATTCCTCTGTATATAATGAATCTCTATCACCACCAATGTTATCCCTTTCTCTATAAAGATGCCTTCCAGCTGGGCGCGGTGGCTCGTGCCTGTAATCCCAGCACTTTGGGAGGCTGAGTCGGGTGGATCACTTGAGTCTGGGAGTTTGAGACAGGCCTGACCAACATGGAGAAACCTCGTCTTATTAAAAATAAAAATTAGCTGGGCGTGGTGGCGCATGCCTGTAATCCCAGCTACTGGGGAGGCTGAGGCAGAAAAATGGCTTGAACCCAGAAGGTGGAGGTTTCCAGCCTGGGCAACAAGAGTGAAACTCCATCTCAAAAAAAAAAAAAAAAAAAACCGCCTTCCTCACTACACTCAGACTGACACCCCAAACCAAATAACCCCTCCCCACCTTGCTCAAGCCTTAATACTCCATGCCAAGCTACCTTTTCTCAGGGATGCCATGGTCAACCTACCTGGCTTTCACACTATACACAGGGCCACCCCTCTGCAAGAAAACTCTTGTTACTTGCCTTAAGTGAAGATAACTCATGCTCAACAGCCACCCTAAAAACACACCTCCTATCCTGCTTGAACTCTAATACCATACTCTGAGCCACTGCAGCTCTCCCTGGTCATTGTAATTGATGTCATAATCATCAAAGAGCTTAAGTCAAATCTTCAATGTTTATTATTAAATAGTCCAATATTGTAGTTAGTCAAATACAGTATATATCTTGATCCATCTCTCAAGTTCTTAATGCTTACCTTCGAGCTACATTTTTGAAATAGCCTGCACAGAGACATCTTCGTAGTACTTCATGTTTAGGGCCCTCAAAGGTCTCTCTTGGGAAATCACTTTGCTGTAAAAAGATTATATATAGAGTGGTAAATCTCATAGCACAATTTGAAATAATCTTTTATTTTGAAAAATCCACATTTCTAAAGACTTCCGTTTCTGCCAAACATAGAGTAAAAGGGACCAGATTTACCCTTCTACCTGAAAACAAAAAAAATGAACAAAATATATGAAATAATGATTTCCAAAACACTGTAATATCAGGCAATAAAGGACAGTGACTCCAGAGACAGGAAATAAATGCAGTACATCCAACAACTGTCCCAACTTCAGCCTTGAGAAAGACTGCAGACCAAGGTACAGGGAAGTAAAGCTCAAATGGAATCCAGAGAAGTCCCTGGGTTAGGGAGACAAAGCTGGGAGTCCAGGAAGACCAAGGTGGCCAGAATTCACAGAACAAGAGTTCAGGAAAGAAGAGAACTACGTAAAGACACAACTCCAGAGAGATGCAAAGGGTCCTCCTCAAGTGTTCTGTGGAGTACTGATTCGCACATGAATCTGAGGAAACTACCAGCTCAAGAAAAGAACCTCTTAAAAGGACGTTTTCACAGGGCTAGTAATGGCGCCTGATCCTATAAGCCACATGAGCATACTACACTACAATAATTCATGTGATTTTAGAAAGAGTACTCAGATGTGTCTTGCCTCAGTAGAGGGGAACAACTGGCCCTGCACTGAGTGCTGCTCTGATCCCACCTACCAAATGATGCAAGCAAGACCCAAAAAGATCAAAACATTTCCAAGTAACTAGAACACAAAAATACCCAGCCCCCAACAAGGTGACATTCACAATGTTCAGCATCCACTGAAAAGTTATCAGGTATGATGTAAAAAAGCAAAAAGATACAATCCATAAATGAGGACATCGATAAATTAAAATCAACCTAGAACTGACACAGATTTAATTATATTCCATTATATAATTATTTGTATAGCTGGATTATGTATGTTCAAAAAGTAGAGACCTGAAAAGTAAAATGTAAAAATTTAAAGACTGAAATCCAACATATAGAGATGAAAATACAACACCTGAGATGACAAATATACTAGATGGGATTCATGGCAGATTAAACATTGCAGGAGAAAAGATTAATGAACTTGAAGATAAGGCAAACAGAAAACATTCATAATGAAACAAAGTATAACAGTGGTTTCCAGAGGCTGGAGAAAGAAGAGAATGGGTAGGTTTTTTGGTTTTGTTTTGAGTCAGGGTCTTATGCTGTCACTCAGGCTGGAGTCAAGTACCCAGTATCAATGATAAGTTCTTAGAAAACTGCAACGCTAAGCAAAATTTTTAAAGTAATTTTTTTCCTCATCAATGTAAGAACAACGGTGAATAAAACCGTATTTTTCTGAAATCAGGTTCGTTACTACAAAAGAAAAAAACATTTTTCTAGGGCCTGCTGTAGATCAGTGGTTACCTGGGTAAGTGGGGAGGTTCTGGGAAGTGAGACAAATGGATTATAAAAGGGAATGAGGCTAGGCACGGTGGCTCATGCCTGTAATCCCAGCTTGGGAGGCCGAGGTAGGTGAATCACTTGAGGTCAGGAGTTTGAGACCAGCCTGGCCAATATGGTGAAACCTCATCTTTACTAAAAATACAAAAATTAGCTGGGTGTGGTGATGCAAGCCTGTAATCCCAGCTACTTGGGAGGGTGAGGCAGGAGAATCGCTTGAACCTGGGAGGCAAAAGTTGCAGTTAGCTGAGATTGGGCCACTGCATCCCAGCTTGGGGGTCAGAGTGAGACTCCATCTCAAAAAAAAAAAAAAAAGCCGGGCGCAGTGGCTCAAGCCTGTAATCCCAGCACTTTGGGAGGCCGAGGCGGGTGGATCACAAGGTCAAGGGATCGAGACCATCCTGGTCAACATGGTGAAACCCCGTCTCTACTAAAAATACAAAAAATCAGCTGGGCATGGTGGCGTGTGCCTGTAATCCCAGCTACTCAGGAGGCTGAGGCAGGAGAATTGCCTGAGCCCAGGAGGCGGAGGTTGCGGTGAGCCGAGATCGCGCCATTGCACTCCAGCCTGGGTAACAAGAGCGAAACTCCGTCTCAAAAAAAAAAAAAAAAAAAAAAAAAAAAGGAAATGAGAAAACTGGGAGAAGTTGGATATATTCCATTATCTTGATAGTTGTTTTATGCAAATGTCAAAACTCATCAAAGTGTAAACCTTAAATCTGTGTTGGTTATTGCACATCAATTATGTATCAGGAAAGCAATTTTCAAATATCTTCAATTCTGTAGATACGATTCTTTTATTACTACTAGGAATCTTTCATGGGGTCAGGGAGATGGCTATACACAGAAACAAATAGAAAGGAAGGTTGGTAGTGAGGAAAGGGTGGTAATGTACATCACTGAAAATTCAGTATAAAATATATAGGTCCAAAATCCTACTCAAGAAGAAAAACCATTATGGCAATCACCTGTTTAAGCTTCCTAATTAGTTCTCGAAGTTGGGCTTCCACACGAAATGCAGAAAATAAGCACCTCCAGTGAATCCAGTGTTTTTGGCACCACGAAGCTGGAGCTCCACTGCAAAATAAAACACTCGTATCTTTAAAATATCTTCTCTAAGTAAAAGACAATCTAACATTCTCATTTCTATTACAAAAGTATAAACCCATAACCAACTGTCAGTTCCTTTAGGAGACCTGTTCAAGTACTAAAGAAGTATTTCAGGAAATTTGAAAAAAACAATTAAATTAATGACTACATTAAAAAATAATTTGTGAATGGATTTCTTTACTTACATATATGCATTAACAAATATCCAATCATTTTTTAATCTAGGCCACCTATATAGAAGCAAAATTCTATAAGGTCATTTTGAGGAAACGTT